TTCCGCCTATTCAATCGATGAGAACGCCGACGAGAGGACAGTGGGACGCCGACGACGGACCCAGCCATACAGGCTCTCATCATGGACGGTCTCGCCCAACTGCTACAGAGGGCTGGAGTGACGGATGGAGCGCCGGTGCCGTCTCCAAGACCTCAAGCTACAGGACACGTGCCTCGTACCGTGCCGACACCGACCCGACCAATGACGTCTTCAGTGATGGGGTATCAAGGACCTATGACCCCGGGGATGAGGAATCAAACGCCGGTTTCGACACCTAGCCGAATGCCGATGGCTGCTATTCCTTCGTATGGTGGCGTGTCAATTCCAATGGCTGGTTCCACGTGGAACGGTGGAGGTGGTGGAACGCCCCAACGGAGTGCGTTCTACCCTCCCTTCCAACCGCCAATGACGTCGACACCTGGGTGGGCTGCTGCTGGAACGATACCCGCGTGGTCTGCTGCGTCTGCACGGCAGACACCTGCCAGCCCCAGAAGCGGAACGTACGGATTGCCGTTCCAGAGAACGTCTCCTATGAATGTTGCGACGTTCCAGGGACGAGCAGGAGCGCTAGGACAAGAAGGGAACGTGGGTGCTCAAGGAGGAAGGTACGCACATAACGCAGTACCTCCGCAAGGGCAAGTGACGAGTCCGTACTACGACCAAGGAGTCCGCAATGGCTCGCACGGGTCAGGGAGAGGTGCTCAGCAGGACGTTCCGATTGTCGGTATCCCGACGGAATTGCGGAACGCAGTGAAAGTTATCGTTCCATTCTACTCCGAGACGGCCACGTACGAAAGGGCGGCCGCGTTCTGGCGTTCCTTCGAGAAGTGTACGCTCGGTATGGACGACCAAATGCGGTTGACTGCCTTTGAGCAGTGTCTGAAGGGCAAGTTGGGTCAGGAGTGGTGGTACAATGCGAGGATCAACGATTTTGAGACCCTGCGCGTGAGATTCCACAACCGCTTCATCTTTCAGACGCCAGCTCAGTTGTGGAGCCGACTCAAGGCCGCAAAGAGGAACTACGGCGAATCTGCGGAAGAGTGGGGTGACCGGATCATCACGATGTGCGAGTACCTAAACTATCACGAACCTCGTATGCAGTACGAGTTCTTCCTCGATGGGTTAAGGAACAAGCAGATGCGTGCCGTTTTGAACGCGAACCTAGCTGCGTCGATCCAGGAAGCGTGCGCTTTATTGCTGTACAAGAATCTGCACCTCCCTGTGGAAGAAGAGGACGAGTTTGCTAATAGTGAAACGACGGTGAGGAACGTGAACGCGGTGACGTCCACGCAGTCGCAGATGCTCCAGCAGCTTCAACAAATGAACCAGTTGATGCTGAAACAGCAGCAGAATCCTGGAACGTCACAAGGATTCGTTGGCGCCGTGGCTCCTACGAACGTTCCAAGTACTGGCGTTCCAGCTCCGAATGGGAACGTGGCTGGCGCACCGCTCGGACCTCTTCGCATCCAACTAGGGCCTGACACGCGTACCACGAAAGGGGAAGTGGTTTGCGGACGCTGTGGTCGTGTTGGATGTGGACGTGAGACGTGTCCCCGTGGACAAGGCCGTTGCAATCGGTGTAACGAACTTAGACACTACTCGATGGAGTGCAACTGGCCAAGACCCCAAGGGAATTACCGGAACGGAGAGCGACGCCAAGCGGAATGTCTGCTGTGTGGTAAGGCGGGTCACCTGGTGGCGAGATGCCCAAGCCTCGATACTTTGCGAGGAATGATGCAGAGCGTGGCCGCTGGGAACGTGACTGCACCCGCTGGTACGTCCCAACAATGAAGGGGGCAGGAGGAAGGGGAAGGAAGTGTCGCTCCTTCCTCTTGCCTGGTTGGCGACACGAAGAGAGATGAGGGTTCACCGCGACAGGACTTGGCGGATGGACATCAGAGGGCTCTCGGGAGAAGTGTGATGAGCGATGAAGGCGCACGTGACGTTCCTGTCACGAGCGTAACGACGGAAATTGTGGAAACTATGAGTGGAACGAGCGGAGAGAGCAGTCCGACGGAACGGACTGGGCTAGAACGAGACGAGAAGATTGAGGGCTCTACGGAGAGGCCCGCACGAGACGGAGTGGTCGCTGAGGTAACAACGGAACGCTCCTCTGCGACGCTGAACTGGGAAAACGAAAAGAGGGCTCGTTCTGAGTATGTACAGGACGTCAGTAAGGGAGCAACGGAACGCCCCGAGACTGCGTCAGACGCCAAGAACGAGTGTCTAGAGATAAAGGGCTCTATCGAGAAGCCCGTACGAGAGAGAGTGGTCGCTGAGGAAACAACGGAACGTTCCTCGGCGAAGCTAAACTGGGAAAACGGAACAACGGAACGTTCCAAGTCGGTGGAAGACGTCAGTAAGGGAGCAACGGAACGCCCCGAGACTACGTTGGACGCCGAAGAGAAGTGCCAAGAGAGTGAGGGGGTGGAGACGCTGTCCACCCGCTCAAAGCAGTACGAAGGAGCACTCGAAACGATCACAGAGGACGCATCTGGCGCCAGGTCAAGTCAGTTCTCGGCAGTCATTGGACAAGTGAGTACCGGTCAAGAAAGGACAGAAGCTCAGAAGGCCGAGGAGGACGAGGAACGTACTAAGGGGAGGGATTCGACGCAGCACTACGAACGCCTGTTTACCGACGAGAAGCTGGATATGCTGGAGCACGGTGGCAGCCAGGTAGTGAAGAATGAACCCGAGGAGTACGAGAAGGAACTGGAAGAACGATTGTTCCCGATGAACGAAGAAGAGGTGCTGCTACGTGCCAAGCGGAACGCGGATGAACAAGGGAAGCCGACACTCGCGGAAATGAGTGCCGAGCTTAAGATACCGGAAGACGTGTTGGAACGTACCCGGGAGGTCTCATCTGGAGATCTCGGAACGCCAGAGTATTGGCTGGACTGGTACGCTCACACGCTAGAGACGTCGACTGAAGCGAATCGTGCCAATCGGGACTTCAAGGATGTCGGAGGAACGGGAGAGAAGTCGACGACGGTCGTTGGTTCCGTTACGACGGACGAGGACGAGCGTACGGAGATGTCGGAGGACGCACTGGAGAACGAGTTCGTGCAGAACGTTTGTGTCGGACTCGAAGAGGACGTCGTACCAATCTCGGAGCTCTCTGCAGAGGAGAAGGGAACGTTACCATTTCGGTGGCGTTCCATAATTCGTAAACGAGTATACGAACTCCTCAAACAAGAGCAGAACGCTACGAAGGACCGTCCATCCGACGTTCCTGAGAGCGGGGAAAACGGTGATGCTGAAGACGACATCCCACCCTTGCGCGACAAAGAGAACAGAGTTTTCTTGGACGAGGACTCATTCCGAGGATACCTCGTCGAAGTGGGTGGAACGCTGGCTGAGACGTTCCAAAATCGAGCGTTGGCCTGGGCACGTGACTATTTCGAGACAGAAGCTTCCGTTATTCGCGACAAGCTATGCGACAGACGGGACGAGATGTCAAAAATAGTGGCTG